TTGGCCTGAATGCACTCACCACAAAAGGTCACTACCTAGAATTAAACCCTATTAATTGTAGATGACCTAGTATCCACAAAAGGCATGATGCGTGTAAAATCAAAGGGTAATATGGTCCTTAATCTGATATAACACACATCAATTTAAATAATTCCACAACAATTTACTTGTTTGAAGGTGAGTACCGGTGTACTGTAGTTTGGATGAATTCACTGTATGTACCGGTACATGTACAGGTATAAAACTACACAATACATGTAGATTGCTACACTCACATTTAAGACATGATGTTTCAAGCCAGTCAATTTCAAAAATTGACCCCAGATGATTCTTCCTAAACTCCTTCAGGCAATATTAGGTTTTATGCGTACTTCTTTTGTTGGCGCTCCAGTATGTACCGTACCGGTATATCACTTTGATCGTGGAATCATGGTGCGATCATAAAATTATTTTAGCAACCAATGTTATTTTTAAAAGACAAATTGTATACCTTTGTGTGTTATATGGCATCACTTATCACAAACTGGTTTGCCCCATTATAAGTAACCCACAACCATGTAACAGATTCAAACTGAAATGCTGCAGTTGGTAATGTCAACAGTCCTAAACAGAATGAGGATGCAAAGTTCCACTCCAACACAAGCTTTTAAAATGCCCTGTGGTTTCCTAACTGTCCATATAACTGATACCATGACAATAGCCCACCACACCTGCCAGCAATGATGGTGCCAATAGCAGGTGATTAGGGGCCATAATCACCACAAATACGCCCTAATTACACTGTACACAGGTACATCATTAGAGGGGGTTTAGCCACAGGTCAATCAATTAGGGGAGGCCCCTACCAAGTTGGTAGCTACTGGTATTGAATTCACAATACTCTACGGAAACTCAAGTTTCTCAACAATCTTTGAATTTGGCCATAATCCATTTTGAACCAAGAGCTCTTTAAATCAGCACTATGAATGTGAGATCCAAGTCAATATGAGAATACAGGCTTTGAATTATTGAATACTGGTACAAAGAAGGGTTTCTGGATGAAACGTGTGAAGTGCATTGTACAAACTGTCTTCAGAGAAGAGTATTGATGCTGAGAAGACGTGAAGCAAGTTAAGAGCTTGTTGCATCCTGTCACCTTTTTCCGCGATCCAAACCTATGTCTGCCTAAATTTACATGTAAGGCATTTCTTGTGGTAACAGTCAAGATACATACAATACTGACTGAATTGTTGTGTTACATGTACATTAACTCCTTTGGTTTCTCTTATAACCACATCTTCTTCAGAGAGTCAATTTTTTTGCTCCTACACAGCATTCTCACAGTCATCCTTAGCAGATCTTCGAAGAAAAAGTCTTGTTCAAATTTCAGAAAGTTCTGATAAATTTATGAATCCCCGTACTACACGTGATCTGCAGGAATGCATCACACAAACATACCCTGGCTTTTCTCATGCAAGTTGGAAGTACACGTACATCATTTTAAGAAAGTGCGCCTCATGACTTTGACAACATGAGATACCAGTTAATCTCCAGCGAGACCTTGGATGCACTCCCAAAATAGCTCCCTGATGCAGCAGCCGCCGTTGATGCATGCCCGAGTTTGAAACGATACCAGACAATACAATGATGGATAGGGGTTTTATAATATATGCTGTCCCAACACATCAAGATATTTTACATTTATTTGGAGCACATGGGTTTTCGTTCACGTCATTCTTTGCAAACTTTATCAATGATGTAATTAATTTTCAACTGCATTTTCTTCCTCCTCTGCAATTTGTGCCAGATGATTTCTCTGTAATGATGGTACAGCAAAATGTAAGGGTAATATATGTGATCTTTAAGCTAGTCTTCCACGTACACAATTTGTTCTACAATTTCAGAGAATATAAAATCTTGTTCAAGTTGCAGTTCGCTCCTGTTGCACATATTCATTCTTCAAGATTTTTACAAAGGAAGCCCCCAAAAATTTTGTACGATTCCCAACAAGTGTACTGGTACGTTTGCATATACAATGTATATCTTTTTAAATTCAATAACACTTGGATGTTTTCTCAAGTCAAACTCGATAATTCCAGAATGTAACATTGATCAACAATACAATCTTTTAATATGCAAGTTACAATGTAAAACAAATCTTGAGATAAATACAAGAAACAATCTTGAAATTTGTGTAGTTAGAAATAAAAAATTCTTCTGCTTTGGTTCAACAACATGTAAACCATGCATATTCTGATGTTCAAATATCTCTAGCAAGAGTGAAACACCCCCATTGCTACCCAAATTAACAGGACAGCAAGAAGGTGTTCTTTACTTGCTGCTCAAGATGCCAACAGTTGAAAACCTTAAGCCACCTTAATTGCCCAATTAAGGGGACGAAAATACCCAGTCCGGACACTTGTGACTGGGAGGATGGGGCATTCCTTTGTTAAAATACAATGGGGATTTGTCATAATGACCAAAAAAGCGCCAGGATTAGAACTGACAAAAAGGTTGAATGGGTAAAATCTGAAATTGCGGTACACCTTAGAAACTTAGACATCTTGAACCCCTGATTCATCATAATCCACAATTGAGTTTTCCATTTTGACGGTTTCGGACTGGGCTGTCGGCCCATCTGCTTTTGGTTTCACATAGGACATGATGTCTCAATTTAGTAAAAAGAATGTGCACAACTGGTCACTGGTCATGGCAGTGCTAACTACTATGGTGGATTGTGTAGGGAAATCCACTTTGTAGTTTTGACTCGAGTCCTAAGGGAAACATCTGCCATACAAAGCCACATGCATTTACATTGCTTTCAATGTTAGACACTTCAGTTATTTTTGTATTAATTAAGTGACAGAATGCAGATTTCTAGTTGCTTCCCAGCCTTCAAAATCTTGAGTCAAATTTTAGATCCCCCCCCCCACATGTACATATGTACACGTATGTGGTTCTTAGATCATTTGTCAGACGTACATGTATTTACCGGTACGTACATGCCACAAACTTTCAACATTTTACATAAACCCCAGGTGGAAAGTCAAAACTTACACCACATTCCTTTATTTCATCCATAATTGGCAAATCTGCCATCCTGGGTTATGATCTACATCTGAGATGCCCAGATAAACAAATGTTTGACACCCGTGACATGTGCGGGATGTCTTTCATTACCTTGCCATCTATGTTTTCCTCAAAGCAAGCCCAGCCTAAATAAATAGGACAACTGACCAAATTATGTTGTCAAAAACATGAAGGCTTGCCAGCATTTTTTTTTATCCTTCCCCTTTTCTCTCTGCATTGACATGACTGTTCATGTACTCCATTCCCGGGGAGAACCGCTGCATCTCGCTATGATCACAGACAGACCGCCCAGCTGCCGCGTGACCCGACCCCGGGTCACAACTTGACCTCTAGGGGTCCCCAGGAATGCACAAATGAATTCAGCAGGGATCTAATTGTCGCTCGCTGATGGACAGAATGACTCCAGTCCCAGGGTGTGTGTGTAGAATTTGAAGCTCGGCCCGAGATGTTGAAATGTGCCGGTAGGTTTGCGAACGAGGAGGCAGTGAAAAAAAGCACAGGAGAGAGGGGTTGATTTGTGGGCGTAGAGTCTCTCTGATTGGGTGATAAGTGCATTTGACGAGAGAGAAGTTGAAGAAATGCAAAAATGGGGGGAAAGAGATGACCTGACCTAGTTCTCCTACTTTAAATTAAAAGATTTTATTTTTAAGAAATTATTTTTAAGCCAACCTGCTCACTTTAGGCTAATCTGTTGCATGGCACACCAGTTTTTTGTTTTCCACTTATTTAATGAAAGCAATTTTTCTACATTTAAGTTCTTCTCTTGTCAATGACATCTTTAGTGACAACATACCAGTAACAAAATGTTCTTTTGGATTTTCAATAAAACAGAAACCTTCCCTGTGAAGAAATATTTAAATGACAGCTCAAAAAATTACTGCTGATAACGGAAATGCCAGTTTCAAAATTGCTGTAAAAGAAATATTAGAAAGTCCCAAGTGTTCCAGACAGGTGTGTGCTGAACAGTTGGCACTCACTGGGTCCCGAAACACACAATAAGTGGTCACCTGTGCTAACAGAATGGCAGCCTGTCAGTGCACCAATTATACAGGCTCTGTATTATTGTAACTGGCAAATGCATGTACACAAGGTCCCCAAAGTATGGCTGTTGCACGCTATACAACCCCAGTGTTAAACCTGAAATGGCACATCACTGAGAAAAAAACTGGCATGTGCTGGGGTGTCCTAATGCACTCATATACACATATCAGGTAGCCCGCAAATTAACAATGCAATGAGCTTCCGTTATAATAAAAATGAAAAGACTAAAGGCAAAAAAAAAGCAACTTCAGGTTTGGAAGGTACAGATTCCAAAGAGCGCGGGGTAAGGTTTCAAGCCCGGCCGTGGATTATATCGGCGGTCTTTTCAATTCTCCGTGGTGGAAGCTTTTAACTGGGAAAACACGGCCTGACAAAGGGGAAACCGGGGCCTGGCAGGGGAGACTCGGGACAGGGAGGGAGAGGGGCTTTCAGGGGCTTCAACGCCCAAGCTGTGAAAGGAGAGAAGGGGGTCGGTGGGATACAAGAGGCCGGTCGAATCTCTTGAGACAGACGGAGAACTCCGGTGAGAAACCCAGGGAAGTTGGGTAGGATCATTTTCATAATGACAGACGGTGAAAGTACACGTAAGAAAATATTAAGATGCCGTAAACCTTTAAGATGAGAATTATTATTCAACAAGAACATTGTGCAGTAAGAAAAATATTTCATTGGAATTGTTTTTGCGTAGAAGATTTTAGAATCTTCCCAGTTAAGTCACGTCAATGTAGAGACCGGTGTCAATAAATACAACTTAGCCAAATTCAATTTGTAGTTATTCTTAAAAGAATTGGATAACTTTTTTATTGGATAGACTTTTCATCAAGCCGATGCTCTACTATCTCATTGAATTGTTGAAATTTTGAAATTTGTAGTACCTAGATAATTCTTACCAATGTCATGGGGCAGTTGTTTCGCAAGTTGGACAAATGCTGTCGCCTTCCAGCAGCTGATGCTTCTAAGGCCATCTGTGAAAACAATTTAAAACACAAATTCACATTTTGTTGAAACAACCTTCATTTGAAATTAATTAATTGATGTAACATGATGACCCTTTTTTTCATTTGAAAACCTTTTAAGCATATATTCTTTGTTCATCAATTTATACATTTCCAGTACAAACAATAAAACATACACAAAGTTCGAACAGGCAAATACAGGCTTTAAGGCGACCTAAATTTATTATGTTATAATGTTATTTTAAGTGATTTTTGGGAGCATGTTCCCCACACGAATCATAACAAAACATTGCATTCAGTTTCAACCCATCAGCGTTCATTATGCCTAATACACGTATGTATGTATGTATACATGTACATGTATGTTCAATATTTGATTTGCAGACAGAACTGCGCCGCGTAACCAGGGGCACAAGAACCAACACAGACCATGGTTATTTCATTTCACCTAATTAAGAACCCCCGTGTACGGATGCTCTTGCTGCCGATGTTGCGTTTATTAATGATCAAGACACCGTCATGATTCTTCATTAATGTCTAATTGAGGAAATCACAATGTACCTGTCTTTTCTGCGGGTTAAAAAAACAAAAACGTGACCGACTCGGCGAATGTGCCGACAAAATTTCCTGCTGGTTTATTATTAGTCACTTCACAGCCCCAGGATTAAACAGGTAGAAAATAAAGATACGCTGTACAAGTATAATGTTGTACTACAACATCATACATTCTTCAATAGGGCGCTTGTTCACATTGGTTATAATTTTTCATGCACTGACTAGAACAATATAAGCACAAACTTATGATTTGAACCATTTCAGTGTTTTCAGTATAAATACAGGTACTGGTATTTCTCGACCTGATCATTTTCTTGTTTCATTTCATCCTACTTCAATTCAGGATTGTCAGTTCTACTTGTGTGCATTCATGTATCAGCAGAAAAGTCCAAAATATTTTCACCTCCTCCCCACCCCCTGTAATTTTTTCCCCGGAGGACACAACTACAAACTGATCACCATGCCCAACTGAAGCAAAAAAGCCCCCCTCCCAAAAAAAAAAAACGGCCACAAGCAAAATTTTTACACGATGTTATTATACACCTGACTGGATTAATTTTGACGAGGGCAAAGGACCCACAAACAGACGAGAAAAAGAAGACCATCTAAAAAAATCCAGACGTTGCACACTTTTTTTTTTTCATTAAGGGTGCGGGGACAAAAATCGATGGGCTGTACGAGAAGCCGCGGCCAGAAGCCGGGAGGCAATTCAGTGTCTGAGTGTAGATAGTGGGCTATTACACTCAGTTTTTTTCCCCGAGACTGCCAAAAGCTGTCCGAGCAATCAATGGGCAGGCCTGTTGATGCTGCTTCTAGTTTTTTTTTTATTGGTGGAGTTAACCTATTGCTCCGTGTTTTTATAACGCGTGGATCTGGATAGATCATGGCCGGTTTTGATTAATTTGTAGGTTGTAACCTAATCGACTTATTGGACAGCTAAAATTATTGAATCAGAATACTTTTAGTTTCAAGCACTTGTAATAAATATGTGTTTTCATCTTGTTCTCAGGTACCGGTACATTAATCGATGAGCAAAATCTATACTATTATGAGAATGGAGGTTCAAAATTTAAAAGGAAGCTTTCTAGAATTTATTTTTAAAATGTATACTTCAGTTACTTGCTTGGATATGGTCTCTTTTGGGGAAAATTACTCAGTTATTTTTTTTTATTAAGTATACAGGATAATTACAATTTTAGCCAAGATGTTAAAAATCAAATTTGTATTTCTAGGTGCCTTTCTTTATGGAGAATCTCTCTAGACCATTAAGACTTAAGAAGGAAAGAGCACACAACGTTTTGACAAAAACATCTTCATCAAACAAAATGCAAATCCAGTCTGCTGAGAGGCCCTTGATTCCCTGAGGCCCATTTGAAAGCTTTGCTTTGCAGAAGTTGGAGTGTAAAATATTTTCCTCCTCAGAAAATGCTTCTTCACTGAACAAATATGCCCGACTTTTTACTTGTATCAAGATGCGATCAGTTGTGTTTGGCGAATTCCAGCGATGGCATTCTTAAGCGTCTCCCGCTACCACTCGCAAAAGAATTTAAAAAGCATTTGATGGTAAAACACACAGACAAAAAAAATCTTGAGAGTTCACTTAACAGTAGCTTGCCAGCAATTTGAGCAAAGCTTGGGCGCATTCAGAAGAGAGTAAAAAAAGGTCACGAACAAATAAAAAGAGGCGGCACCTCAAAAGGGGGTCAGGCATACACACACACTGTGAAAACCAAACCCCGGCGATAAACACGGAGGGTTTTGGGAGCGCGCCTGTGAATGGATGGGAAAACAAGAACCCAGCATCCATGCTGAGCATTCTTGGACTCTCCGCTGCGCCTTGTGTACACGGTGTGCGGTGTTTACCCAAGAACCCGGCTGGTTTTTTCTTTCGAACTGGATTGTTGATTTAGGGCTTAGGATCTCAAGCAGGCTGGTGCCTGCACACAAGAGAATTTTTCGGGGGAAGGTGGCTTGTGTGGAGGGTGTTTGTTTCTCTGGTGAAGGGTTTGTGTTGTTGGGTTTCAGTCGAGTTTTGGGATTTTTCTATGGGTTGTTCTGGTCTCCCCTGTGTACTGGTGCTGGACTGACAGTTCCCGGTTCAAACTTAGGAATAAAAGCAAAAGTGAAACAGACATTTCAAAATCTGTCTGTCACATCAAATTTGAGGCATTATCCTCATGGAGAGAAACGTTCCATTCCAAACCAATATCCAACTCCGAAAACTGTCACATTTTCTGGACGTGTACAGTACCTCGGTATATACCTACATGTAATATCAAAATGTCAACCATCCAAGTCATTGGAAAACACTACAAACAATGTGGACATGAATAAGGCCCATTGGCCACAAAAGCCGTTCCATTTCTTTGAAGTCATCTTTGGCAAGGCCGTGATTGGCAGCTGTGCTTGTCATTTCACTAATTATCAAACTGAACAAAAATACATTTATCTCAAATTGCCAACAACAAAGAGCCATTCGTCATTCATCTCTATCTACAGAAAATCTCCAGAAAAAACTTACGCCCACCAAAATGTTGCCTGATTTGAATGAAACCCACTTTAATACACATGTAGATTAGTGTCATACACATTTTTGATGAAGAAAAAAATGATTTGAAAATAAATCCTGAAAATAAATTTGCTGTTCAATGAAAAACACAACATAAAATTTTAATACAAAATGAAAGTAGCCATCGGTTTAATTGTACTTTAGCAACCTAATCATCCATAGTATCAGCAACTCATCAACAACCTTCAACCATCTTAGTAAGGTTTTTAATGTATTTCAAGGTGACTGCAATTTGTCACAATTACCTCGGAGTAAATTGACAGGATGTTTATATTAATTATGCAGCACATCAAAATAGAAGCGTTGTCAATTGAACCCATTCTCCCGTGATTAAATCAGTCACCATGCATGTATTGTACAATGACATGCCAAGTTAGTCTCTAGAATAAATGCATCACTTAATGTGGCTACTGTCAACACAACTTTGTAATTTTAAGTAGTCCATTTAAAATTAGATTTGTGACAATTTTGGGAGAGTGTGATGTACTTAACAAATGTTTCTATCAGGCGTGCTGCGATTGGTTGATCAAGGGCCACATGCACAGGGAGCACCTACCCGAAAAAGTCCAGGGGGCATGGTCTTATCCTTGTTAACATTTAGTGAATCTGTCTCAAAAGACACAAAATTCATGAAATTTCTTACAAATAGGTTCTCAAAAAGTTCCTGTTTCTGTTAACATTTACATTAACATCTGTTATCATTGTTAAACCAACCAGAATCAGTTTCTTAGATGTTAGTTGTAATGACTGTTACATTACATCAGTCTACTAAGACAGATGCAATCCATGCAGGCCTAAACAGTGAGAGCAAACATCACAGCTCAACACTGCTTTAGTCCCTCTTAAAATGAACAGATTTTAACTTTGAAGATTATTTTTTTTTCAAATCCTGTCAACTTCTACAGAATACCGCCAAGCAAAGAAAAATGCGCCCTTGTGGAAATATTGATGGCCCTAGGCCAAAACCAACAGTAGCAATGACCCCCAACAATAAGGGGCCCCATTTAGCAATTACAATGGGTTAGACAAATAAACCAGTCTTGCAGCAGGCGTGGCTCCGATTTATACCGTGGCTCCGATTTATATCGGCTGGAAGTATACCGATACTAAATGTGATGTATACTCTCCCGTTTATAGGCCACTTCAAGTGTGTAATCACTTTCATTTCCTGTCCACAAAGGCCTAATTTATCATCTTCAGAGCGGGTTTTATGATTACTGACACACAGTGTGATATGATCATTCAAAGCCAGATGTCCGTTTGTCAAGTTGATTGAAGGAAACAGGTCGGGCGGAACACTTGGTAATGAACATGTTGGAAAGACATCAACTCCAATGCATGATTTTCTGCCGGATTCAGGATAAGCTGTAAATTTCATTTCAAGGTTTCAACTGTAGACTCATTTGTCAAGTTTGCAAATAATAAATATTAATTATTGAGAGTTTGCATGAAAGTATATAAAATATTTACATGGAAACTGTTCTGATTTTGAGTAAGATACAGTAAAGACAAAAAAAGAGAGTTGTGCATGAGATTTCTTTTTCCTTTGAACAGGGAATAGTGCAAGATGCGGCCAATTCCAAGTAACAGCAGTAACGTATCCAATCACACTATTCACTTGCTCTAGAAATATCTCAGCCGGTGACAATTATGCAGATTGAAAATTGCCACAATGTGAAACTCGTCAGCTCCGAAAACTCTCATTTGTCGCCAAAAAAGAAAAAGAGCTTTGAACCCTGCCAGGCATTCATCATTCCCAGTCCCCGTCTCACCGTGAAATCGAGATTAAACTCATTCATGTTCGAAAGTCCCATCCCCACACAATTCCGGATCACTTTCGCCCGAATTGTCTTTAAGCAACGCCGGGGCTGCCCTGATTTTAAAA